TGGGGTGAGGAAAGTCAGAAATGACAGGAATGTTTTGCTAAGACTTGCCAGTTTTATTTAGTTTGGTTCAAAATAGCCCTGTGACACGGATCAGACTTAAATTACAGCCAGACACCACATTAAGGTGGAYCTGGAATTTGTTGCTTGTGACGAGGGAAAAGTTTGCTGAGTTCTTTGAATTTGGGGGTTTTAATCCCGTAGGTGTGCCTGGATATGTTCAATTCAATTCAGGAAGAAAATCTTCCCTGTGAGGGTGGTGAGGCCCTGGCACAGGGTGCCCAGAGAGGCTGTGACTGCCCCTGGATCCCTGGAAGTGCCCAAAGCCAGGCTGGACAGGGCTTGGAGCACCCTGGGACAGGTGGAAGGTGTCCTTGACCACGGCACTGGATAAGCTTTAAGGTCCTTCCACACCAAACCATTCCATCATTCTGCATTGATTCCACGAAATGAGCTGACAAGGAAGTCGGGAACACTTTGGAATTTACCTGTCGATGGACAAAGCAGCAAAATCCACGCCCAGAACTCCCCACCTGGATCCTTTCCTTGGAAAATTGCACCACAACTTAATGATGAGCCACTGAAAGATGCCTGTGAAATAATCCCCACTGCTCCCAGCCTCCAGCAGTGCAGCCAGCCAGGCTGCCAGGCTTCAGGCAGCGCTCAAACTGAGTTTTCTTTGGCTGCTGGGGCACCAAGCAGCCCCGGCAAAGAGAGGAGAACGGACTCTGCTCCGTGGCCAAGTGGGTGAAAGGCTGCGGCTGCTGCCCCGTGTAGCTTTAGCAGCACAAAGAGCTTGTGTGAGGGACATAAAAGCCCCGAGTTTAGCCAAAGAGTCACGGGATTTGGGCAGAAAAGGTGAGGAGAGGGAAAGGATGGCAGAGGGGATGTGGAAGTGGAAGGGTTTTTGCAGGGGGCACACATAGAAGGCATTTTCTGCCTGTCAGAAATGAATGAGTTCAGGAGCCAGTGAAGGATRTCTTGCTGGAATGGTGAAAAAGCAGGGAAAATCATGCATTGGTTTCATGTAAAAGAAGTGGAAACCCTRAAGAAAGCCAGGATTTGAAAACTTTCAAAACGTAGCAAAAAACCGACATTTTCTCTGTTTGTTGTCTCATCCCTTTGTTGAGTTTTATGTTGGTGAGGTCACATATGATTATTCTAATTCGGTTTTAGAAGGGACTGGACTTTGATAGCAGCACTCAGACTGCCACCAGAACATGGAAATCCCCCAATTTCCATGRATGCCMRGAAAATCCTCCTTTTYCCCCAGTTTATCACATGARATCCATCACTTGGTAAGGCTGGGTGGCTCCAAGGGATGTGGTGGGAAAAGCAGGCAGCAGGAGAGAGTGGTGAACAAGACATGGAAAAGGTTTGTGAAGGGGGAAAAGGCAGGAACTGAGGATACTGGGAGAAAAAATTGAGTGAATATCAGATTTAGCTGCTTCTTTAGAATTTTGGATACCTTTTTCCCTTCTTTCAAATGTAAGGAGGRAAAGGACCCCAGGTTTTCCCTGTCTTTCATGAGAGGGAAAGGCTGAGAACATCTGAACTTAAAAATAAATAATAAATTGAACAATAAATTCAAACAGAGTGGGAAACAACTAAATGATATCCAGACTGGGCTGGGAATGGGAATGGGGCCTGGATCCTGAGGTGAGGGAACCCAGGGATGAGGTAGGAATGCTGCAGCAGTCCATGCATTAAAAATAAAACCAAGATTTGTTTGATTTCTTYCACTCGGGGTGTTTTTCACTCTGACATATTCCAATTTTTTTTCCCCAGTCCTGAGAGCTGAGGAACTCTACAAGGCAAACAACCACGGGAGGAACAGAAATCCCCATTGTGTGGCCTCGGCTGGCAGGGATTCCACATTCTGCCCGTGGGATTATCGGGGTCAGRGCACAAACTGCTCCAGGAGCAGGGGATAGAATCACACTCAGGAGGCAGCAGACCCTGCATCAGGGCAGGAATAAGRAGAGAAAAGCTCTGTTCTGATGCTGCTTTGTGATAATTTCTARTGAAAATCCTGCCAGTGTTCCCCTGTCATCTTCAGATCCTTTCTTTTTTTCCTTGCTTGGGTTTTGCTTTCAAAAGTGGAAAACCCCAAACAATCCCAGCCTCACTCCCTCGGTTGCTAATCTGAATTTTTGCCTTCTGAAGGACAAAAGATAACTTTATTTTTATCTCATCCTTTACACAGAGTAATTCCTGGTTGCTTTTCCTGGCAAGATGCAAACTCCTCCCGAATCCCAGCCTTTTTTTATCTAATTTTTTTTAGGGCAGAGCACTGAGTGAACACTCCATGAAGTGARTTTGGGCTGAAGAGACACTTTTGGGATGCAAAATCAGGACTTTTTGTGGGTATAAAGAGTTAGCAACCCAAACAAAGAGTTCTGAGTTCAACACTGACTCATTCAGGCCGAGTTATTCCAGTCCTCCAGCTCATTCTCAACAATAAAACAGGAATAAAGGGAATAAACTTCCAGTCTCTCCCCCTTCTGCTGGTGTTACTCAGATCCTTGCAGCGGATCCCAAGCCTGGTGTGGGGGTGGTGTTACAGGGAGCTGTCAGGAGCTTCAGGCTCTTCCCTGGTAGTAACACAATGACAAAATTAGTGGTTTCCTGTGGCATTTGCTTCATCAGCGTGGCTGTTTTAATTGCACCGATGACAGAGMCTTGTAAATCACGCCACCACAATTCCCCTGTGCCCGGGACCTTCAGCTTTTTTTATGCTGAACCAAAGCCAAGAACTTGAGTCTTCTTTTAGACTCTGGCCTTTTAAACTGGTTTTCAGCATTTGTTAGTTTTCCTTTTTTTTTTTTTTTCCCCAGTGGTTTCAGACCTCATCATCCATCATTGTAACTCATTTTCCCTAAAAGGGGAAAAGAAATGCTGCCATCCTTTCAGTCCATATTCCCCATCATAAGTTTGATCACCAGATGCCCAAATATTTAGTGATCCCTCATCCCCCAGGTCACCTGGGTGTTTTAAAGCATGTTCCAGCCAAATCAGGGCAGTGAAATACAGAATTTTAGGATATTTTCTCCAGATTCTGATGATCCCCAGTCATCTAAGATCAGAAGAGMGAACCAGAGAGCATCTCTTCCCTCCCCTTGGATTTTTGGTGGTTCCTGGTAGCCTGGAGGGCTGGGTCACAGTGAGATGGTGGCAGCAGATACGGAGATGGAAGCAGTGGAGGTAAAAGAAAAAGTCAGGGCACTGAAGGACTGGTTGTACCTGGTTAATTTTTTTCCAGCAGGGACTGATGCCAAGAGTCCCAGCCGAGTGCAAGATGCTGGTGAGTCTATAACAGCAGCTGGTATTTTTCCCTGGTGGTTTTTATGACAAAGATCTCATTCTTGTCTCTGAGACACCCATTGAGATCCCGAGCGTGGCAAAGGCAGGAGAGAGAGTGCTGCTGGCAGGGCAGAGAAACCATCTCTGCTTAGGGATGGGTGATTCCAGGAGCCCCTCCAAGGCTGATCTGGAACCATCTGCTAAGGGGATTTCATGTTAGAAGGAGCTTGGAAGGGAATTCCAAGGGCTGCTGTATAATTTCTCTGGGGAAAGTGTGTTTAAAAGGTGTTAACGCATCCCTTGTAGCTGCTGAAACCAGAGGAGGCATATGARGGGAACAAGAGCAGATTTTAACAAGTTCAGTGGTGCTTTTTGCCTGTTGAGATCCCGTAGAGCAAGTTTCCAAAGGTTTAGCTTGTGTAGGAAGATGGAATTTATTTGCTTTTAATGCAGYGTGTTGGAAAAAGAGAACTGATCTCTGCGTGTCCCCAGTATTCATGATAAAATGTCATAAATATCAACTAAATTTAGGATAAATATCCTGTTGGGAAATTGATAATGGGGGAGGAGGAATGTGATTTGAAATAATTACTGCATTGTTCTGAGTATAATTGTTACATTTTAAAAGAGGCTACATATTGATTGGTGTTTATTAACATGAATYGCCAAAGGGAATGAAATAAAAACGTTCGATTTGGTGTTTTCCAGGCGCAGAATCCCGAGAGGAGATGCAGCCATCAGGTGATGCTCGGAAGGCGAGGGGATGCAGCCTGGTGGCTCTGTGTGTTTCTATGGTTACCTTCAGCTGGAATTGCTGTAACTGGGTCAGATTGGAAGGTGTGAATGGAAACAAAGAAATCCAGAATCAATAACCAGAGTTCGGGCAGAGCGCCGGCGGAAAGGGAGATGAGAGTGGGGAGAGGAATTTTTAATTTGTGACTCAGTGTGGAAGATGGATTGCTCTTTTTTTGGCATCACTCACCCTTCCAGCKTTATTTTTGTTGTCTGAAGAATCATCTGCAGGGTGTTGATGTGATTTACCTGTGGCAACACCTTCCCTCCCTCTGGCTGCGTATYCAGGCACGAGCAGCCAAAAGGAGCCTCAGGAACGGGAGAGGCTGAGGCAGCTGGAAGGGAGAGGCAGAACAGATGGAAGAGAGGGAGGGATCTGCCGGAGAGGGGAAGCAAAACCAAGGGCAGGGAAGTGAAGTCACCTTCAGCCCAGAAATAAGGAGAAACAGGTGGTAAAAGCGGTTYCAAAGAAGGAACTCGAGCGTGGGAAAGGGAAACTCCCTGGAAGGACTGTGGGGCCAGGTCAGGGTTGGTCTCTTCTCCCAGGTGACAAGTGCCAGGACAAGAGGAAAGGTTTCAAGCTGTGCCAGGGGAGGTTTAGGTTGGAACAGGGAAAATTGTTGTGAAGGCTTGGCAAGCCCTGGACCAGACTCTGTGGTGGAGTCACCGGAGGGATGGCCTGGGGGGATGTGGTGCTTGGGGACATCTTTGCGGTGGTGCCCAGCAACAGGATGAGGAGCCGTGGCCTCAAACTGAAACACCAGAAGTTTCACCACAACGTGAGGAAGAACTTTTTTACATAGAGGGTGGCAGAGCTCCGGATGAGGCTGTTCAGGGACCTCCCTGGAGTCTCCAAACCCACCTGGAAGCGTTCCTGTGTCACCTGCTCCAGGTGACCTTGCCTCGGCACGGGGTTGGGCAGGATGATCTCCCGAGGTCCCTTCCCACCCGGACGATCCCGTGATTCCGTGGCTGCTGGCCCTGGCSGTGCTGGGGACTCGCGGCTCTCCCAGGGCTGTTCCAGACGCGGGGATTGCGGGATCCATCCCAGCCCGAACTCCCCCCGCCCCGGCTCTCCACCCCCGGGCCCCGCAGCATCCCGGCCGCCCCTCTCCGGCCCCGGGGGCGGGCGCTCGGCGAGCGCAGCCCAGTGGGCGGAGGGGCCGGGGTGGGACCGGGCTGAGCCCCGGGGAGGCGGAGCCGGGCCGAGCCGAGCCGAGCCGAGCCAGGGCGAGCCGATCCCGGCCATGGAGGGCTCGGAGCCCGGCCGGGGGGCGATGCGGCGCTTCACCTGGGAGGAGATCGGGCAGCGGAACGGGCGGGGGCCGGCGCCGCAGGAGCGCTGGCTGGTGATCGACAGGAAGGTGTACGACATCAGCCGCTTCTGCCGGAGGCACCCGGGGGGCTCCCGGGTCATCAGCCACTACGCCGGGCAGGACGCCACGGTGAGCGGCCGGGCTGCGGCCCCGGCGGGAGGGAGGGAGGGATGGAGGGACGGGGCTGAGCGCCAGGAGGATCCCTCGGGATGCCCACACACGCGTGGCACGCTTGGATTCCCGGCTCTTACACACGGTGAGCTGCTTGCCGTGCGCACGGGAACGCGCAGGGCGCACGGGAACGCGCAGAGCGCACGGGAACGCGCAGGGCGCACGGGAACGCGCAGGGCGCACGCTCCGCCGGGAATTGCCCGCGATTGTYGTTCCCAATGACCAAAACCCGCGCCTGCGACCGGCGGAGAAAAGCGAAACCGCTCGGTAATTTTTGCAGGCGGGAGAATGTCGCATGCTGCCACCCGTGTGGCACACGCGGGTGTCGCGGTGACAGACAGAGGCGTTGTTTGCGCCTTCGCCCTCCTCGAACTTCCCGAACCCGGCACCGCGTTCCCGAGAGATGGCACCAGAGCAGGATATCACTGAAGGTCGCGTTTCAGTCACGAAAAAGAAGTGAATCATTCGTGCCTGAGTGCCAGCGGCTGTTGCAGAACGGAGTAAATGCTGTTCGAGCTGTGTGTGGGGTGGCTTTGCCACGGTTGTTTCCTTCCTTTGTCTGCTTGTGCTTTTTCCATTTATTTCTGCAAATGCGTGTGTTTGGACCCAAGGGTGGGTACTGGGTGTGAATCCACCTCTAGGGTGGTTTTGATGGACTACATTTCAGTCAGGATGGAGCTGGAGATCTCCACGTGAAGATTCCATGGTGTGAATATCATTAAAAGGCGAGGAGAAGAAATGAATTTGCACCACTCCACATGGCAGGGAGCACATGTAAATTGTCACAGTCCCATCACAGGTTTCCCAGAGCAGCTGTGGYTGCCCCATCCCTGGAAGTGTTCCAGGCCAGGTTGGATGGAGTTTGGAGCAGCSTGGGCCAGYGGGARGTGCCCATGGCAGGAGGCAATGGGATGAGCTTCCAAGGGCCTTTCCCACCCAAACATTCCGGGGTTCTGTGAGCAGAAAAGGGTCAGCCCATGGTTGGATGGTGGGATTGCAGCCAGCTGCATTCTTTAGGTGATGATATCAGTGCCACTGCCGGGTGCAGCTGAACTGCTGACCACTCAGAAAMCTCTGCCAAGTTTTATTTTCCAATGGTTTTGTCCACGGGGGTGAAACAAATCAGACTCCTCAAGCACAGGGGCAAATGGGAAGTAGAGGAGGAACACTTTTGGTTTGCTCTTCTGATTTCTAGGAGGTTCAATCAGTCCCCTCACCTCTGGCCGGGATTGCGCTCCCAGGTTTTACAGCCTCCATGGAATGGATTGGTCTGAATGTGTGGTRCCATCCTCCCCTGCTCTGCCCACACACTCCTCCCCATTATTTTTTTTCCCCTTTTGCAATGAGAAAATGCAAATGTTGGTTCCTCTCTCTCTTTCCCTCCTTTATTCAGTGACCCTGAGCGGGGAGGATGCCGCAGCTGACCCAGAGCTGGCAACATCAGCCAGTTTTTTTAACCCCTTTCCTGACCAGAGATCTTTGAAAAGCACATTTTATTTTAAAAGCACACAATGCTGGCAATTGTAGTGATAAGCAATGCATGGTGCAGGAATCTTACAAAGTGATGCCCAGCAAGCAAATACTATCTCAGAAAATGAAAAACCCTCACCCTTAGGCTGAGGGAGATTGTAAACATATGCTAGTTTGGGCACCAGGAGGGAAATATGGAAAAGGAGGTAAATRGGAGGTCAGGAATTCGATGTCCAAGTGCCCAGAGGATTTGTAATTTAAATATAGGGATAGAATCTTCAGTGAGAGCAGCCACTAGCGATTTTTTTTTCACCTGGTTTCCATGGAGATTGACAGTACATTTAAATGATAAAAGTAACAGGTTTCCCTAACAGGGATCCCTTGAATGGTCCAGCATATCATGGAATAGATTTCTTTTGCTTCCACCTGAATGATGTATTTTTTCTCCACCCTGTTGCTGTGTCTGTGTTTCAGGATCCTTTCATTGCTTTTCATCTTGACAAGGCACTGGTGAGGAAATACATGGCCCCACTCCTGATCGGGGAACTGGCACCAGATCAGCCCAGCTTTGAGCCCAGCAAGAATGTGAGTGCCTTAAAAATGTGAAATTGGGGTGAAATTGTGCTGTTTAGCTGGCACGCAGAATTCCATGTACATAATATCACATGATCTCTGGGAATCACTGTCGGCTGAAGCTGCATTTCCTGTCATTATTTGTAGTTTTAGCAAAGATTTGTCTTGGGGTGACCCTCAGTTTTCCCCCTTTTCATCCCTGAGAGGGAAAACTGAGCTCTTCATCATGTTCCTGAGGCATTTTCCGACCGGTGGGTGCTTTGGGGTGTCCCCACAGAAAAAGCTGGTGGAGGATTTCCGTGAGCTCCGTGCCACCGTGGAGAAGATGGGGCTCCTCCAGCCCAACCACGCCTTCTTCATCCTCTATCTCTGCCACATTTTGGTGCTGGACATCGCAGCCTGGCTCATCATCTGGTACTTTGGAGCATCCTTGGTGCCTTTCCTCCTCTCTGCGGTGCTTTTGGGCACTGTTCAGGTGAGCAGCTCCCCAAAACAAGCCCAAAAAGCCAAATTTGGGACTTAGGAGCAGAGGAGAAATTTTACCATCACGGACTTCYCCAAATCCTGCTTCCCTCCGGATTCCACCAGAAGGGCAAAGCTGCACATGCTGCTGTGTGGGGCAGGCTTTGCCTTGCTCTTTCCTTCCCATATTCCATCAAAGCCTTCCTTCTTCCACGCTCCYGGGCTCCAAGGCTGCATGCAGGGGCCAAGCCACCGTGTTCCCATGGGAACTTGCAGGGAGTTAGAGGAGAGGGCAGAGCAGCTCTCAAAGCCCAGGCTATTCCTCCYGTGGCCAACTGATCCCCTTGGAATTACAAGTACTCGGAGGAGGCAGCAGCAAGCTGCTCCTTAAAGGAGACTTTGTTGCCGATTTCAGAGCAGTTTTGTCAGGGAATAAATGCCCGTTCTCTGCTCCGTGGCTGTTTTTTTTTTCCCATGGGTTTTTTTTTCCCCCATTTCCTCGTGAAAACAACCGTCCAGGACTAAAAGTCATTAGGCAGTCTGGAGTGCACTGGTTTGTAGTGAAAAAAGAGAGTTTGGATGGGGTGCTGGCAGTGGATACGATGCGAGGAGCATGGGAGTGGAAGAAGAAAGCTCTTTCCAGACCCAGACCCTCCTGACAGCTCTTTTTCCCCATCAGCACTGTTGTTTCCTTAATTCCAGGCCCAGGCTGGCTGGCTGCAGCACGATTTCGGACACCTCTCAGTCTTCAGCAAGTCCAGGTGGAACCACTGGGTGCACAAGTTCGTCATCGGCCACCTCAAGGTGGGCACTGGCTGTGGGGAGGGGCTGCCAGAGCCCTGCCCTGCGGCCAGAACCAACCCCAGGGTAAAGTGACAACCCAGGATGGAAGATCCACCTGCTTTAGGGCATTTTCTTCTCCTCCCTTCCCCCAGGGAGCCCCGGCCAGCTGGTGGAACCACCTGCAYTTCCAGCACCACGCCAAGCCCAACTGCTTCCGCAAGGACCCCGATGTCAACATGCACCCCTTGTTCTTTGCTCTGGGGAAAACCCTCTCTGTGGAGGTGAGACCCCAAGGAAGCTGGGAGGRGGCAGCAGGAGGGTTCAGATTTGGGAAGCTGCAGAGAGCTTGGACATCAATTAGTTTGATTTTATAGAGTGCTGCTTTGCTTTCYGCCAGTCCCTAAAATACCTCGGTGATATTCCAGTAATTCTGAGATYTTGGTATTCTCAAAATCTCACTCCAAGTTGTTTTTGCAGTGTGGGAAGATAAGAATGAAATATTTGCCACAATTGCAAGTTGGTRTTTCCCCTGCTGAAGACTTGCAGCTTTATCAAGATCAGAATTACAAGTTGTTCTCTTTTAGCAAGACCAGTGTGGCTAATTGTAGAGATTTGGGGATGGAAGCAACAGATGACAAGCCTGGAACTTGTACAATTCCTGATCAAAGGAGCTATTTTGGTGGTCTCAGCCTGGCAGTGGGTGTCAGAGTGGCTCCCATCTGGAGTCCAGCTCTATTCCTGGTACAGCTCTGAAGTTAATGAGTGGCTTTAGCATTTGCTGGTCCTTTAAAAAAAGTTATGCAAATTCTTAGTGTCAGTTTATGTGCTCTGATTTGCATGGTAATTAAGGGATGGGCTATTGGGAATTGGTTTGAACACGTCCAGGGATACAATGGCATTTTTCAAGGAAGCCAGTGGCATGATCTGTTATGTTTATACAGCAAGCACTGAAAAAGGAGCAGCCTCAGAGCGAGGATAATCTATTCACCCTCATTCCCATGGACTCAGTTTCATGTCTGGATGCTCCTTTCTCTGCTTCCCAGGCTAATTCCAAGGAGGAGGGAATTCCACACACTGTCATCTTCATCAGCAGTATCCTAACTGCCACAGCTTTTGGTTTTTTAAAATTCTGGAGCTCTGCTTGGTCAGCAAACTGCTTGTGTGGGTTTCAATTTCAGTATTTTTAGGCAGSTCATGCCCTCTGTAGGGGCAGAGCCTCCTGTGCAGGTCATGGTGTGTGTGCAAGGCACTGCCGAGCCCCTTGGGCACCCAGGGCAGGGTGAAAATTCACCCAGGSTGAGGTTCCAGGGGGTGGTGGATGCTGGCTTGGTTGGACAGGGCATCTGGAAGGTGAGGAGAGTGTGCACAGGGGTCTTCCTGGCCTGAGTAATTTGTGTGTTTTGACAGCTCGGTGTGCAAAAGAAGAAATTCATGCCTTACAACCACCAGCACAAGTACTTCTTCATCAGTGAGTAACCTCCCCCTCCGCACTTCCATGGCCAGCAGTCATCCTACCCCTTCCCATCCCATCCCATCCCATCCCATCCCATCCCATCCCATCCCATCCCATCCCATCTCACTGGGATAATGAATTCCTGCCTGTTTGTCCCTCCAGTCGGTCCCCCGGCGCTGGTGCCGCTCTATTTCCAGTGGTACATCTTCTACTTCGCCGTGCAGCGGAAGCAGTGGGTGGTGAGTCAGCTCCAGGGGGCCCAGGGTGGGATTTTCCTGGGTTTAGGGATGAATTCCAGTGCCAGATTTACTGGGAGGAACTCTGGAAACGTGTGCGTGCRTCTACAGCAGAGGATTTGGGGAATGGTGTTTTCCACGCAGCTTTTCTCCGTGCAAGGTCCACTGGGTAACAAAAGATGTTCCCTGGTGTTCTGGGGTTTGGTTTTTCTCACTGCTTGGCTCCTTTTCGGATCCAGAGGAAAACGTGGTGCTTCAGAGCGTGTCCTGTCTGGTGTTTGCCCTCTGCTGGGCTCGTGGGACCAGGACAATTCCTGARCACAGGAATGGCTGGCTGCTTTGTGATGAGGCTGGGGAGGAAAAATCAATCAGTAGAAGATGTTATGGGAGGTTTTGGAGGGAATGATGGTAAATTTGGAGGTCAAAARTCTTTCCTTTTAATGAAGTTTTCCCTGTCTTCTGCTCTACAGGACCTGGCCTGGATGYTGTCCTTCTACATTCGATTCTACCTCACCTACTTGCCCTTCCTGGGGGTGAAGGGTACCCTGGGGCTCCACCTGTTAGTCAGGTATTGTGCAACTTGTAAATCCAACTTTTTCTCTGCCCAGTTTATATCAATCCTCTGTGTCAGCTTTTCTCCAGCCTCCTGGTTGTTTTTTCCATCACTCCCTGTTCCTCTCTCTCCTGATCCTCTCAGTGGGACAGGGGAGGTTTCTTGCCAGGCTGCAGGAGATGGRAGGTGTGTGTAGGTCTGATCTGGTCAGATATTTGGGGTTCCTGGTGTTCATTCTGTCAGGCAGCACCCAGCTGGTGTGCCCACAAGTGTTCTGTGCTGACTTGTCATGTCATGGGTGTGTGATCTGTGGTGTTTTTCTGCRTTGGCACAGGTTTATAGAGAGCAACTGGTTTGTCTGGGTCACACAAATGAATCACATCCCCATGCACATCGATTACGACAAGAATGTGGACTGGTTCTCTACCCAGGTGAGACCTTATTTATGCAGATCCGCGTCAGTTCTGGCCATGCAAAGTCCATCTATCTCAGCCTGGCCACCTGGTGTTGGCTGGAAATAATTCCTGGAGCTGTTGTGCCCAGCCAGAATTCCTGTGGGGATGAGGAAGCGGTGTTTGAGAAGGGGCATTGCYAAAATAACCCTTAAAACAGGACTTTTGCTTCCCCTCTCAGCTCCAGGCAACCTGCAACGTTCATCAGTCTTTCTTCAATGACTGGTTCAGCGGCCACCTCAACTTCCAGATCGAGCACCAGTGAGTGGGGGCAGGGGGTGGCAATAATTCCAGGGGCTGAGGAGGCTGTGAGCTCCCTCTGCCAGCTGAGACAGGAGCAGAAGGAAATGTTGGGTTGGTTCTGTGCTCTTTGTGCGGGGAGGGAACGGGGGATCCAGAAAGGAAATCTTTGGTGACCCGGTGAGCACCAGCATAACTGCAGATCTGAGCTGGATGGCACAGAGGGGAGAATTCCTGGCACAGATGGGAGATTTCCCAGCACAGACACTGAAGGGACATAAGAGGGACCATTGCAGAGCAGAATTGAGCACAGCAGAGGGGCAGAGGGATGATGGATGCCATGGAACCTTCACCTCCTTTTCCCACAGCCTGTTCCCRACGATGCCACGGCACAACTACTGGAAGGTGGCCCCTCTGGTGAAATCCCTGTGTGCCAAGCACGGCATCGAGTACCAGTGCAAGCCACTGCTCACRGCCTTCGCYGACATCGTGCAGTGAGTGTTGACCCCCTTTGGAAAGCCAAAGGTTTTCCAGYGTTATGGGAAAAATGGGAGGGACGTGAAAGGGGCACTCCCAAAGGTCCCTTCCYRCCCAAATCGCTCCATGATCTCCTTTGCTTCATCTGTAGGTGGGAATTCTCCCCACGAGGCTCTGGATGGAGCATGGGGCTCGTTCCTTTGTTTCTGAGGAAGCGTGGTTTCTCTCTTGGCAGCTCTTTGAAAGATTCGGGGGAGCTCTGGCTGGACGCCTATCTCCACAAATAAGCAGCAGTGGATCCCTGCAGAGGAATTCACCAGCCTTGCTGCCTCCTGTGGTGGTCACCCTGAAGATCCTGCACTGAGGAGAGCTGGCTAAGCCAGAGGTGGTGCCGCTTAATTCCATGGATGAATGTAATTAATATGATTTTTTTGTTGTTGTTTCAAAAAAGACGCGCTCTTAATTTTTCTCTTGTGCTTCTTTCATTCCTCCTCTCTGGTGCTGAGTTCTTGGGAAAAGCTGGATGGAGGAGGTTGTGTCCCACTGAGCTGGGCCAAGCTTTGGGGCTGGGGACAGATTCTTTTCCATCAGYTGACCCTTCATTTGCTGAGTTAGTAGGAGGGATGTTTCTTATCTAACATAGGCTTTTTGGGGTGGCTCTGGTTGTGAGCATGGTAAGGAAGTTGAGACAACATGAAATCAAGGAATGTGGGAGTTAGGGAAATGTGGAAGCTCTAGGGAATACGGGGTAGGTTCAGTATTTTCAAATCTTTGTTTGCGACAGGGAGACTCCAGACCAATTTGTGCATGTGTGGGTGAGGTGGAGAAGGCAGCAGTTCTCTAGGAATAGGATCTAATCAGAGCCCTAATTGAGGAAGGGAAACTGGAAAGTGGAAGATTTTCTTCATGCTCTATTCTGTGGGAATGCTGCCCTCCACATCTCTTTTGGGTTGTTTGCCCACTGCTGACATTTCGTGGGGGATCTGCAGGTGGTTTCTGCAGTGCCAGACTTTGGAGTGTTATGAGCCCTTTGCTGAGAGTCAGAAGAGAGAGAGAAACCTGTSCCATCCATGCTCRGGGCCCTACAGGSGTGACTAGGGAAGCAAAAKTGTTCCAGGCCAGGTGGGATGGGGCTTGGAGCAGCCTGGTTTGGTGGAATCCCATAAACCGGGACAGGGGATGGGGTGGGATGAGCTTTGGGATCCTCTCAACCCAAACCAGCCCACAGTGATTCTGTGTGGAGAGGGATGGTAATCACTCTGTGACTGCCTGAAGCTTTGGGGTTTTTGAACCTCTGGGTGATTTGTTGAAAGGAGATAATTCCTAACTCCTGGCCCAGGGAGAGTGAGGTGTTCCTGCCCGAGCTGCAGATACACCTAAGGATGGTAGGAAGGTGCTGGGGTCAAACTGCTCTTTCAAAGTGTTTAACTTTCATTCAGTTGCGTGTCCCCAGGCAATCCTCAGCCAAAACCTTGCTGGTCTTCCTCTCATGGATGAGGTGCCTTCCAAACACACCCCAGGGAGGGGACGTGTCCTGTGGGATTTATTGGAAAAGCTTTGATGCCTTTCCAGGGTCTTTGCATTTGCTGCACCAACATTACAGATGCCAAATTAGGATGTAGCACCTGGCACATCCCTAAGGAAGATGCTCCATCACCCAGGGACGGGTGGGTTAATATCCAGAAAGGATGGGTTGATTTTGAGGAATTTTTTTCCAATCARCATCCAAAAGGAGAATGAGGTGTCRAGGGAAAGGAGGAAATGCATYTTCCCAGGTCAAGGGTGTTGTTAAGCACAGGATAAAATTGTAATGGCARTAATAAAATAATCGTTAAACACCTGTTGATTAGAACCATAAAGAAAATGGGCCTTARTTACTGGTTTACCTTCGTTTTTTCCTGCTCCATTTCTTTCCCTCTTATTACACCTGTGGATGGAGGAAAGTCTGTTAATAAAATTCCTTATCTTACCAATTTTTGCTGTTATCAGAGTAAAATATGTCTGTGCAAAAGTCTCCATGCTGTGAAAAGGGGAACAAATGCCCCTCCACAGCTGCAGAGAAAGAACTGTCACAAACCTCTTTCTCCAGAATGTGCTTCTCCTATGTTTTCTCTGCCACAATAAAGAGGAAACATCCMCAATACAATAAACCAAACGCCTGGATGACCAGGAAAAATAACACAGATGAGCAGAGTCACAATCCCGAGGGGTAAGACTGAAAGGGGATCTTACTCAGCATGACCAGATCTGACCGTGCTGAGGTGGCTGAAAGTTTTGCAGGCTCGAGAAGAATTTTTCTCCAGAGAGTTTTCCAGGCTCTAGAAACACACTGAAATACATGTTTTTGGAAGAACACCAGCCCCAAATTTGCCATCTAGTGGAAACCCTTTAGCCTTAAAAATGGGACCTGAACATTGWGGGATAGCCACAGGGTGGCAGTCAGACATCAGAGGGGAAGGAGGAGATCCCAGAGGATTAGAAGTGAGGGATCAGATCATGAGAGAGACTTGGCAAAGGCATGGAGTGATGGGACAAGGGGGAATGGCTTCAAACTGAAAGAGGGGAGGTTTAGGTGGGATATTAGGAAAAATTCTTYGCTGTGAGCGTGGTGAGACYCTGTCACAGATTTCCCAKAGAAGCTGTGGCTGCCCCATCTCTGGRAGTGTCTAAGGCCAGGTTGGATGRGGTYTGGAGCAATCTGGRATAGTGGGAGGTGYCCCTGCCCATGGCAAGGAGAAGACAGTGTAGTTCCTGAAGATCTTCTGAGAAAACAAATGGGATCTTAAAAACTTCAGTCAGAGGTTCATAAAGCTTCGAGGGTGATCCTGTTATATGGAATATCATTGCACAAAGAGGTGGCTCCAGCCTGGAATAAATCACTTCTTCCAAATCAGGGAGAAACATCCTCTGCAGTGGAGCAGCTGGGATTATAAAAATGTCAGGGTGATGTTCAGGCAGTAAAGGGTGATGGGAAAACTCCGTCGTTTTCCCCTTCCCAACACCCACTCATTTGGACTTGTTAAWGGTGCAGATTTGCAGTCCTTGCCCAACTTGTGGATGTGTTTGCACTCATTATCCCGAATTCCTGAAGAGGGGAATGGTGTTCTTTATGGAATTCTCCCCTTCTTTAAGAAAGAAGGAGAAATTAAGATGAGTGCAGATCCACACGGGATGGATGATGAACGCAGCCGAGTCGCTCATAAACAGGAGGATTTGCTGCTTCCCAAGATTCTTTTATGAGGAAAATAATGAGATTTCCTGACAGGTCAGGCATAGAGGATGAGTGCAGTAATGCCACATTGCTCATGGGTGGGAAAGAAAGAGGATTTCATGAAACTTGAAGAGGTTTCTCTGTGGTTTTCATCTTCTGCAGGGACCAGTGTTAAGTGTTCAGAAAAAGGGGACGAATTTCCATCAAGAAAAGTTTTGAAACAGCAGCAAAGAACGATACACCCATGACAGCTTATATGAAATGCTGGTTATGGTGGTGGCCCTCAGGCAGAATTTCCAAAGGTCTGATTGATCCACAGTAATCTCCCTTGGCTTTGCTCACAAAAAGCAGCCTGGCTTTTTTGGTTTTTGCAGGTCATCATTTAGGCTCTTGTCAGCTTGGTGATTGTTTTTTGTGAGGGAATAAAATTGTCAGAGCTTCCTGAGCCCAATAAAAGAAGAGGSAGTGATTTGATCATAAAATGAGAAGTTTTAGAGCAGAAAATACTTCAATCTGCCAATATTCAAGAAAGGAATATTTAGCAGCTAAAGTGTGGATCGATACCAGTTCAAGACATGGTGCCAGTGCAAATTTTTAGTGTTTAGGTTAACTAGCCCAATTATCAGGATCACTGATGGATTGTCCTCTAAGGGAAATAGCAAAATTCAAGAATAATTCAATTTTCTAGGAGATGATTGCTTTTAAAATGTTTGGATTGGCTGGAGAGGAGATGAGGGCAGTATTATCCTAATTAGCTCACCTCCTGCATAATGGACCTTTTGGGATGAACACTAAATCATCACTTAGTGGCAGACCCAGATGGAAATGATAACTTCTGCTGGCAAGGAGGGTTGCCAATGTTCTAACAAGTGAGCCTGAATTCCTCTCCAGATCATCTCCCAATCACTTAGCAAAAAGAAACAAGGTGASGTAAGAAACGCTGGATGTTGCCCAAGTGAAATAAAAGGTGAATGAGGATGCTGCAATGAGCTCAGGCTTTGAGATTTTCTTTGTTTTATTCCCTCTTCTCCCCTCATCCAAGAGGAAGATCAGAAAAGTGTGAGACTAGAAAGCCACAAATATTTCTGTCTTCACCAAATATTCCAAAGTTACCAAAATGAAGGAATAAATATAAACTTATGGGATTTAGATCCCTAGCAAAGGGGAGAAACAAACTTAAGAGAGCATTTTGGAGGGATGAGGGACAACCTGTGAGGCTGATTGGGAATATAAAGAATAGTGAAAAGGTCCTGGAACTACAAATAGAAGTTGCTGAAATGTCGAAGAAAAATTATATTTTACAAAAGAAAACAAGTAGCAAAACACAAAAATTACAAGTGCTGCCCTTGTGGGCAGAGTAGGATGTAGAAGCTTAAAACACTCAAGTCACCCTAAGAATTTGCCCCAAAATCCGTGTCTGAGGAAGGACAGAGGCAGGGGRTGAATTTAGGGCCAGGGCAGGAATTGTGACCAGATATTGCTGGAGGCTGTGCCATGTTTCTTGCAGGTACTGGAGCCCCCAGGAAGGCGGACRGAGGAAGGTGCTCCKTGCAGAGGCCCTGGAACCACCGTGRGTGTCTTAATCCTGGCTTAGGCCACTTTGTTCCTCATTAAAGTTGCACAAGCCATGTATTAAAGCAAACTTTCCATCACGGGCACCTTCTGGAGAGCTTTCCCTCTGTGGATGCCCGACTTTAGGCAGCCAAAGCATTCAGGAGTTTGTGAGCAGTGGGTGCCCTGTGCTGGGCACAGAAAACACAACAAAAACGCTGCCTGGTCTGAGAAAAACCAACCCCAAATATGCAACAGTGAGAAWACAAAATGGATTTGTTACAGGAGTTTAACAATTTTATCTCGGAACATGTTGTGTCTTGTTCTTCTTGGGAGAGGAGAATTACAGAATTTGTAATCTTAGATCAGCTTCATTGAGATCGTACAGCCACAGGAGAGGCCCTGGGATTCTGAYTTACATGAAGCTGGAGGGGGTGAAGGGTTTATTTCATAGGAAATGCAATAAATATTTTGTTTTAATGTAATTTTTTGTTCTGTGGGGAGTTTTAGATGAGAAGTTTCACAGGCCTTGTTACAGAGCCTGATTTTAGCCCTCATGCTAATTAAATGTCTTTTATCCTGGGCTTTTATTGTTTACCCATAAAATGTAACCCAAAGCTGGGAGGGGAAGCGTGGCATTTTACAGGCAGCTTTTCAKATTTCATTTCTCTTTTGCAAAGGATGTAAAGATTGCTTTCACAAAGGAAAACAACCTGTTTTAATTTACTGTTGATATCCAGACTAAGGAATGAAAGAAAATTAATAAAGACTTTGAACATCTGAGCAAACTAAACCCCTCARAGCAGGGTYTCCATTGCAAACTTGCTTCTATCTRTAAAAACTCMCTTGGTTTTGCTTTAGSTTTCTCTTCCCATTTCATGGGACACAGAATTCCTGATAARTAGCTCCATCTGAGATACAGGATGATGTCTCATTAACCCAGAATGTACTAAAAAAGGGAAAACCTGGTTCTTTTTTTGCTTCTGACAGACCTGGTGTCTTGTAATGTTCTTATCAAGCAGGCAACCATTGGATTTGTTTTTTCCTTTCCAAAACAAAATTTTGCCAAAGTTTTTTGTCTCTCAAAAAGGTTGAGAAGTTCTTTCTGAACTCAGCCTTTTCCTGAATTATGGATTCCGTGATTCCCCRTTAAGTTTAATGCTGGGGATAAAATAGTTTTAACTATTTCTGCTTCCTGGCTGTGTTTGGGAAGGGGAACATCATGGTCACAGAAAAAGGAGCCTTGAAGGGGAGTCCACGAAATCTGGGAAGAAAAGCAGACTCTGTGCACAGGAAGCTGTGTGTTGGCTGTGGATGGTGCAGGTAAATTCCCTGGARCCTCTGTAGGGCAGAGCATCCCTGAGCTCTCCACAAAGGGCTCCGGACCCTGCGAGCGCCATTCCAGACAAACTTTCCAAAATAATTTAATTTAAATTACTTTAAATCAGCATAAGGTGGCACCTTCCTGCTGATGCAGAGGCCTTTCAGATCACTTCTGCTCTGATCAGAAGTGCTATTCCATGGCTCCAGAGCAGCCAGGGCAGGGCAGRGAGACTCAGCTCTGCTTCCAGAGGGAAGTGCAGGTGTGTTTGTAATTTTGTAGTTGCTCCTCCGAGGTCATGCTTTTCCAGCTCTCTGTGCTGTTGACAGCTAATTTTGGAGACATGTTCAACCCAGCTGTCTGTCTTCTCTCTAACAACTCTGGTGAGACTCTACAGCTTGTAAAGTTGATGTTCTCCACCCAGCTTTGCCCAGGAGCCTCACTTGGGAGGTGTTCCCACTTGGGAGGTTCCACGCAAACTCTGTAAAAAAAAAAATCCTATTCAGAACTTAGAGATCCTCTCCAGAAAGGAAGATTTTCTTAGCAATGAGAGGATCACAAATGCTGGGAAAAGCCTCTAAGACCATCAACCACTTCCGAGATTCTCTGGGATATGTCAACACTGGATTTATTTCTGGTCCCTCTCTCTCCAGCGGATTAAGTGAAAGTTGCAAATGTTTACGTGTCGGCGGATGAAAGCGTTGAGGCAGCAGCTGAGCAGTTGCGTYGTGCCCTTCTGGAAATGTGGGCAGTGGTGCCAAATGCCTGTGCAAGGAGCCTGTGAGTCACAGGAGCGGGGCTGTGGGGCAGCTCCGAGCTCAGCACCCGCTCCCGGGAACGTAGGACGAGCTCCACGTTGGGCGCGTGGGCAGCGGTTGCAGAACACCCAGTGTGGTGTAAATCCACTCCAACGGGTTTCCCAATCGCTCCTCTGGGTGAGCAGGACTGTGCCTTTGTCTGCCTGAGCGCCTCTGGGATCTGTTTGGTGACCTGGATAACACAGACAGAGGCAGCTTTCGTGCTGGGAAGGGATTTTAATTGAACAGAATATCAGTGGGTGTGACAGATCCCTCTGGGTGGGATCTGAYGCTAAATAAATTCAGACAGTAAATATTGATACGCATTGTTAAGACAGAGGACAATTATCCCAGCATTCCCAAAAAGTCCAGCACTTTGGTGGTTGCTGGCAGCCACAGTGTTAACGGTGAAAGCCACAACTCCTGACTATGGGTATTGACAGAGACATCCCGGATTTGTTCACTCCAATAAATTCCTGGCTCTTTATCCTCCATCTCCTCAAAGACCGAAACCAAGGCCCACRTTTTATCTCCTCCTTTTCAAGTGGCTGCTGCGTTTACAAGCCGGAATACAGGGCCATGGGAAGGGTTTTTTTGTACTTTCAGCCAGCTATGGAGTAACTCRATATTTTCACATGTGCACAAAACCCCACATCTGCGGGAAATTGCGCAAACTGTTGCATATTTTATTGACACCACCTCAAGAACTGAACATCGATTTCGGTAAGACGCTGCACACTAATACATCATTAGCGTGGACACTCTCAGCTCTTATTTAGAGCAAGATAAAGAATTTCAAAACACAATGTGATAGCAGGGTAGAAATTATTCCTCCCATTCTTTTATCACTGTTTTCTGATGAGTACCAGCAGTCACATTTCTCCTTTACTTTGGGTGGATCAKCCATTGCCACATGTCAGTAGCTTTGAAATGTCAGTTTGGGGGTTGACTGATTAATTTGCAAGATTCCACGTGATTTCAAGTATTAGAATTGCATCATTTGGGCTTCTGTGTCAGCCAGAAGACTGCCCACTCCGTGCAGGTAGACGGAGAAAGTGCCACACCCTGCTGAGGTACTTTGGTCAAGAAAGTAGTTTGGCTTTTTTTTCTACCTTTATTCATCTTGCTGTTCTGCCTGAAGTCTGCAGCTTCAGTCCTTATCAGAAYTGGGAGGTCAGACAACAATCTGTTWTCTTGGAATCCCAGTGTGGGAATTACCTGGGAAACTCTGTCACAAGAGAGAGTTGAGACCTGCAGCTGGGCAGGTTTTAGGCAGGGACTGAGCATCACTGCCATATTTGGGGTTATAGACCTAATAAACTCAGAAACAGAAAGTTTTGGGCAAGGGGGAGAACTCATGATTTAGAATTTAACTTGGTGTTGCGTTACAGAGTTAGGATGGAAATCCACGGGGACAGACTGTACCATGTCTGCCTGCTGCTTGTCCCTTCCTCAAAAGCACCCAAGACTTGGAATTTTGGATTAAAAAAAACCCAATCAGGATTAAGACATTGCTAAGTCTCAAGTAGGGCAATATTTCATACGTATTGCTTAGTTTTTTTCTGGGTAAGATGCAAAATCGAGTTCATAGAAAACTTGACATTGCCTTTTTGCTGCTTTTATCACAGCAGAGAACTCTCTACCTCTTTATTGCACAGCAGATCTTCTCAATATCAGAGATGCTTAGGCTTGGTCTCTGCAAGAGAAGTGTTTAAGTAAAGTTAATTATGTCAACATTGCCTTTAAGCATGGTTTGGAAARTCAGAGCCTACAGCCAAAGTTGGTGCTAACAGTTATTGCTATTRTTATTGKKTTTTTTATTATTGTTATTATTWTTATTTTTATCACTGTTATTACTACTACTGCAGCAAATTCCTACATATTTTAATGTTACAGACTCATGAATTAATTACTTGAACAATTAGATGATTGCATGACTCAAGAATATACAGGAGACTCTGAAACCAACTTTGCAAAGCAATATCAATATAGAAGCAATATCAATATAGAAGCAATATCAATATAGAAGCAATATCAATATAGAAGCCAAATTAAGTGAAAATAAAGAATGTTTTCTTAATGAGTTCTTTCTTTGATCTGGTGGCAATTCAATCAACAATTTTTGATTAAGAAAGACACTGATTTAGAATGCCAGGGTCAACAGAAAATTTCAATGACCAAGGGCAACCTGAAGTTTTTGGGTGGTGTTGAGGCCATTCAGAGGTAACAGGGGATCTTCCCAAAATTTCTCCCTTTATTCCTGCTTGTGTTGAGTGGAGCAGTCAGACCTTGCAAAGGCAGCTCAGAGAGGATGAGAAAGAGCAGGGCTGCTCCTCACGGGTGTGTCCGAGCGTCTGGAAGAGGAGGGAGCTCGGGAAGGGTTTGTTTGGGCGGGGAGAGCCAACCAGCCCTTGGGAGCGCAGGGAGTGGCTTGGAGTGGGGCTGTATAACGGGCTGCCGGGGATGGGCCASCCTCAGCCCGGCCACGGAGAACTGCAGCGCGGATGGCTCCGCAGACCGGCCCCGACGAGAAGGGCACGGGAGCCGTTCCAGCCTTCCCACGGCTTTTCACTTGGGAAGAGGTCGGGAGCCGCGACGGCCGCGGGCAGGGCAAGGAGCAGTGGCTGGTGATCGACAGGAAGGTTTACGATGTCAGCACCTTTTCCAAGAGGCATCCCGGGGGCAGCCGGGTTATCAGGCACTATGCCGGGCAGGATGCCACGGTAAGAGATGGGAAAGCGGTTCCGGAGGCAGGGATGGAGGACGTGGTGGGAATCCCGTCTGGTGGTGGCCGTCACTGTGCTCGGCCAGAGAGAGCAGCGCAATGACCTCGGGCTGCAGGACATAAGGAGAAGTCCTGCGRATATATTTGAACACAGATCTGCCAGGGATTCCCACAAAAAAAATCTGTGATCTAGAGGATTTCTCTGAAATCATTTGGCACTTGTTGGCAGGAATAATAAACTCTAAGCAGATCTGCCAGGCTGTGCTGAAAGGAGACACGGAACTTCTGAATAGGCAGAAATCTGAGAGTTGGAAACGTGGCCATAAACTCGTGATGTGGGAGATTTCAATCTTGTCATGACAAGACTTTCTGACTTGAAGGCAGTCGCTTTGCCTGTCTMATCCCTCGGGTTTCAGCATGTGGAATGGGATAACACTCCCTAAGTCCCAGCCCAAAATGGACCAGATCAGTTATTTTTCACATTTCATCTCTTGGACCCTGTGTAAAAGTGGGGCAGAAAAATTCCTGGTGTTTTCAGAGGAAGAAAAAAGGAGGGGTTTGAGTCTTGTTGGGTTTCTCCCAAATTCACCGACCTTCAGAGCACAGGCCAGCCCAAAGATCCTGGTGCCATTTCCTGCGCTTCCTGCCACTGGACTTTTACAGGAGTCAAGGAATGCAGAATGCATGGAATGATTTGTCCCCAAGCCATGTCCTCCCAGCTCCTGCAAGGACCTGCATTTACATCATTGTATCTGTRGGCACCCAGGGGCTTTAACCTGCAGTGAATGTGTTAAAAAAATTACCTTTGATCTTACTTGCTTTTATTATTGCAATAATTACAATCTGAWTTTACTTGRTCTTAAAGGTATTTTCCAACTTCTAGCTGTATTATATCYCTTTGAAGACAGGACCACAACCAGTAGCCAAAATTGTGAGCTCAATGTGGATTTGTGTTGCATCATAACAACATTTTCTGTCTTGACCTTGCTAATYTCAATCACTCTTTTTGCATTTAAAATGCTGCTTGTTCATAAATTCTAAGAAATGCGCACAGAAAAGCAGGACTGGGAGGTGTCTCTAAAATTTACATGTGCAGAACTTAACCTAAAACCAGGATCCAAGAAGTTCTGAATGCTCCAGAGCTCCTAACTGCCTACATATAGTGAGGATTTTCTTCTTTTGTGGGAATTATTTTGCAAACACAAAAGAAGACCATTGCAGAACATTTAACTGATGTCAAATGTGAGTTATGTGCGTTGCAGGTGAAAGTTCTTTATCTCTTTTAAGATGCTAATCAGGGCCTAAGATCAGGGAGGAGGAAGGGCATGCAGGATCGAGAGGCTTTCAGTTATAAGGATCTGTGAGACTGATCTCATGGATAAGAGTTTCTGCTTGAAAGGATTCTGGCTCCTGTTTCCAAACTTCAGGATAGATATCTATGGATTAAATCCMAATTTTTGGCAAGTGGGAGTGATAGAAAAATGGATAAAGCCCTGTAGGATGAGTGCCGCAAAATCAGGATGGAAAGATTTCCCCAGTCCTCTGGATCTGGACRGAGTTGTTCATTTGTCACTGTGACAAAGGGTCACTAGGTGTCTGTAGGAAAGCTCAAATGTCCAAAAGGTCACCTTGTTCTGACTTTTTCTAGACTAAAATACTGAGAGAGAGACTGTCTCCAGCCAAGAGGCTCCAAGCAAGTCCTCTGTCCTCTTCCAGGGACTTGATCCTGACCAGACCTGTGCAGATTATTTGGGTCATGCTCCTCCATGCTGATTTTCAGAGCCAAAATCAGYGAAACCAGACTGTTCAAAACCAGGATTTTGTTCCATCCGCTCTTTCTGGAAGTAAAAAAATAATATGGCCAGCCTCTTTACCTTTCTTCTGGAAAATCTACTAAGGACACGAGATAAAGAAGAGTTTTGATTCATCTGGAATCTCATCCTTTATCCATTGTTTATGTTTGATTTGAAACTGGGATTTGAAATGGCTCTTGGACAGGCACTTTTGTGTCATTGGTGTCACCCACTTCCCCAAAATATGAACCAGTCTGCAAATTTGGAGGGAGCTGTGAGAGACACCCAGTTTGTGCTGCTGAATARTGAGGCTTCAGCATTTGGTTTTTCTGGCCTTAGAGTTACACAGACAGGATTCCAAAGCCTTATCCCAAGCACAGCAAAGACACACCTCATTCCTTGCTCCTGGGTCCCATCCATAGGGCAGGGCTGCTGGCTGGAGCCTTCTAGGGAAGACTGTGCTGAAGCAAGCACATGGAAGAACACGTTTCCCTCTGCAAAGGGTTGTTCATCAAACCCTTTCATCTTTATGACCAGCCTCACCCAGGGGCCTTTGTGAAATCTGGGCTCTTGAAACCTCTCCAGCTTCCTTGRGCCAAGCTCCAGACGATGGCAAAGAGCGACAGGAGAGACAAAAATGGACAAGGGGAGCAGGATTTTGTGTTGTAATGCCTGGGGAATGAGAGGCTCAGCCTCTGGTGTTCGCTCACCTTGCCCTCCCTGACTCCCTCCCTTTGTGTCYCTCAGGACGCCTTTGTGGCATTTCACAACGACAAGTCCCTGGTGAAAAAGTACCTGAGATCTCTGCTGATCGGGGAGCTGGCACCAGATCAACCCAGCTTTGAGTCTAATAAAAAGGTGAGTGCCCCAGATTCCAGAGGTGGGAATGGCTCAGGCTTCAGCAYAGGAGGAGGAGGAAAACAAGAGAGGTGGCAGGAATGTCCTCTGACACCGTGGGTTGGCAGGAGGTATCCGTGCACAGAAACATGACTCTCCCAGCATCACTAAATCCACCCCTGGGTGTGAGGAATGAGCTCCAGAGCCCCAAATCCTGCTCAGTTCTCCCCACTGGGATGTCTCAGCCCCAAAGCAAAAGCAAGGTTTGTTGACCTCATGGTTGTTTTGGCCCAGAACCTCCACTGACAGAACATCTCCTCCAACTTCCGTGGCTGCTTTGGGGTTCCCAGCTCTGCTYCATGACATTTTCAAAGTTAATAGTGCATTAACACTCACTGTACCCACAGAAAMCCCTTTTCTTTACCCACAGAAATCCCTCTTGGAGGATTTTCGGGAGCTGCGCTGTGCCATTGAGAAGATGGGACTTCTGAGGCCCAATTACTTCTTCTTCTCCCTGATTTTCCTTCACGTCCTGGTGCTGGAGGCTGCATCCTGGYTCGTGCTCTGGCACTTTGGCTTATCCCTGCTGCCTGTCTTGGCTAGCATGATGCTCTTCACCACTGCCCAGGTAAATTGCTGACGGRTGCTCAGTGCTGCAGACATTCTTGGCTCTTCTGGGTGGAGAGGATTAATGGAATGTTCACATCCCAGCCATTGCCTCGCCTTAAATCCCATTATCTGGCCGAAGATGATAACCATGTTCTACGTCACGATTTCTGTTGCCTGTGGCAAATATCGCTTTGCTGACAGGCTGCTCCCTTGGTATGGTGGGGTTSTTGTGGAACTGGCTCTTTCACAAGATGGGATCAGATGATCTAATTGCTTGCCCCAGCAAAAAGAGGGAGTATTTCTTTCTCAACCTRCAATTTCGGCTCCCTGTTCCTTCTGTCTGATGGCTCTGGTGTTTGTTGGGTCCTTTATGAGCCAGCTGTTCCCAYTAGCCCTGAACAGTTTTCTGCCGAATTAATAAATTCAGCCATAGAAGGGCAGGATCCATGTCAGGGTGGATGTAGGAAAGGAGGAAGTAGGGATTTGTGGCCCTTAGATGGAAGGAACTGAGGGGTGAAGGGGGGAAGAAAACATGATTTTCTTATTAGCACTGAACCCTTAAGTTTTCTCAGATCTCCCTGGAGCAGGTGAAATTGAGCTAATTTATATTATTAACCTGTTTTATTTGCCTAATATCTGCTAAGGCAGTTACCCCTCCAAGAGCAGTCTTGTATTTCCATGGGAATATGGAATGCATTGAAGCCATGAATTTGGAAATCCTTCCACTTCCTAGCTGGTTACTAGGATTACAAATAATTAATTTGTGATGGCAGCAACAGAATTSCCTGCTGGGACAGTCCAGTTAATTGCAATGATGCATTGCTGCTTTCCCTGCATTCCAGATGAAACCAATATCTGGAACTGAGCAKCTCTAATGGACAGTGGCCTGGATTGACATTCCCAGCCCCGGGAGTATTTCTTCCCCACATCAGAAGGAGGATGATACTCACACTCTGAAGTTACAGAGACAGGGCAAGTTATTGCAGCCAGTTCTCTTTCCTCAGTGATCCTTTTGTCTCCCAGATCCAGATGGGCTGGTTCCAGCACGATCTGGGACACTGCTCTGTCTTCAAGAAGCCCAGGTGGAATCACATCCTGCAGATGGTGGTGCTAACCGTGCTGAAGGTACGGGTGGGAGCGTTCTCTGGGGCTAAGCAATGGATGGGAGTGTCCCTAAATCCAGGCAATRTCTCCTGTGAGGGAATTGAAATAAACAGAGGTGCGATTCTTGATTCTTGATATTCTGTTTGAATCCCTGGTGTTCCCCTTCTCCCCACGCAGGGGCTGCCTGCCAGCTGGTGGAACCACCTGCACAACCAGCACCACGCCAAGCCCAACTGCTTCCGCAAGGACCCCGACCTCAACATGCACCCTCTYCTCTTCAGCCTGGGAAGGACCCTCTCCGTGGAGGTCTGGAACTGCAGATTTAATGGCAGAAAGCTGGAGGGTGATATGTGTATAATATATCATGGTAACAGCCCAGCCTTGAAATGAGGTGGCCTTTAAGATCCCTTCTAACCCAAACAATTCTGGGATTCTTTGGTAATTCCCAAAGTATTCCAAGCTCTGAGAGTCTCGTGTTATTGCCACGCTGAGGYACCAGCTCCTGAGAAGCAAAGGCTTCAGTAAGGGCCAACACCTTGCAGGCAGCTCCAGGGG